AATGAATCATGGATTGAAGTGGAAAACGCTCTTGGCTCAAGCCCCACCATAGCTAAAAGCCTTTTCATATCATCCGCCTCGGCAGTGCTCGTTGTCAGCCGGGTTTGTTACTGACCTGACTAAAGAGCATTCAGTATTCAGTGCCGGGTTGGTACTGCTTTGTGTTGTTTTGTTTGCGTTGCCATGGCGATTTGACTAAGAGCTCGTATGTAGGTCCGCTTGGCATCTCGTGTTTTCCAGCCGCCTGAATGATGTAGTAATAGACTGGGGTCAAACCATGACAACCATGGGTCTACCTCTGTTCAAGTGCCCTTAATTGCGATGTTTGGCTTGGAGGAAAAAGAGTACTTGCTATTTAGTCCCCTCCCAACTGTTGTACTTCTCATATCTCCTTCCTCTTTACTGTTTGAACAATTTGTGCAAGGTGTTACAGGTGTGCGAGCGTGAAAAGAGAAGACTTCTCTTGACAATAAACTGCACTTTATGACTTCTGCTTGTGCTATCCCAGCAGGTTGCTGCGCGCTGTACTGTCAGATTCCTCCCTGAGATTCTGCAGGGTAAACATTTTCTGGTCTCGTTAAACTCATACTCTTAAACACGTGGGAGGTTTGTAAGCAAGTTAGTGTAAGGCAGCTTTTATAATTCGATAGTGATGACATAATGTTAGGCCCAAGTCTTATAAGTCCATATAAGGTCCTCTATCTTAGTCTACCCTACACAGACATGACATGCATCTCACAGGCCTTCAGTTCTCACCACAAGGCGCTTCCTGTAACATGACTTCTCAAATGTGAAATGACCACAGCCCTCTTCCTTTTCTCCATAATTTCAGTGGAGGCAGGATGTTACACCAGCATGGAAGATGATTAGTATCCCACCAGTGCTGCCATACTATCTTAAATATGTTACCTTACTTTAAATTGTCTGGTTTTAATGGTTGTTCTGTAAAGAGTTCTGATGGAAATTTAAAACGTTGGACATAAAAGTGTAACTGTAAATCAGTTGTTTAAAAATACAGCATTGATCTGTTGAGTGAGGAATTCCAGTGTATTAGGAGTTTTGGCATCAGCCTACTCTATTGAACGGAGACTGTTCCTGGAGAGGCACTGTATGTCATGAATTTAGCCACATCAACTACTGCACAAAGCTGCTTTCTCTTCAGACAGAATCTCTTTGTGTTGTTTTCACAAATAATGAATCTTATAGAATCCTTTATTTTTCTTTTTTTAATTTATTGCCTCATTATGGAGAAGTTGATTAGTGAGTAAACATCTAAATCTGAACCGTCTTTAGAATGAGCCAGATTTGTTTCTTTTTAAACTTGTTTTATGACTGTATTTGATTATAGCTGTATAGGGTTATATTGAAGACACATGGAAGCAATAAGACTGTTAATTTTTCTAGGCTTCTGCTCCACCTCTTGTGTTTTTATAGATAGTCTGGTACAGCATTTCTTTTCATCTCTTTTATAATGAGGCAAACATAGACTCCTTCCACAAAGGTATTTGTAGAAGCAATAAATTAAGGGGCTTTTTATCTGGTGTTGTCATAATCTCCAGTGTACTATAGGATTTGCAATAAACCCTCAGATTGATCTGGCAAGTATTGTGCAATATTTCGTATTCTGTAAGCTACATTTGTAGGAGCAGAGGCACTTACATGTGTAGCGTAGAGCAACTAGTCATTACCAGTAACTGCACACAGTGCACAGCAGTAAACTCAGCAGTGTGGAGAGGACCGCAGCGGCACAGCAGCCACACCATTATGTGGCTGGAATCCCATTCATGTAAACGCAGTTGGAAAGACACTTCATTCATTTGGAAACGTCCTTCTCATCTGCCGAACTAACAAAGAGCCCTAGCAAGTAGCCTTTTTACTCTTTAAATAAACTAATTCATACTGTGTAAAACTACCTTGGATGACTTTTTTTTCTATTTGAGCAAGGTTTAAAATAGCAACTTGTGTTTTGCACATTTTTATTAAGTGCACAAATTACATAGTATGATGTGGTTGATACTGTTCAGTAAAAACATGTTGCTCAAACATCCTGCTCTCTTGGAAGAGCTGGAGTAGCACAGCCAAAGTTCCAGTTTGTTACTTATCTGCTCTCCGTCACGAGTGCTTCAGACCTCTCTTGATTTATATTTATAGACCGCAAATGCCAGGGATTCTTACTCTGACATCTATTTGTTTTGTATCCATGTGAGAAAGACAGTGTTTGACTGAAAGAAGTTGGGACTTATAAAGCACTCTCTGTTCACCACCGCAGACATTAAACATTGTATGCCACGTATATAAAACACATTTTTCTGAGAACATTACAAGAGTCCTCTCCTCTCTTCATGTCTCGAAATAGGACGTTTGAAGAATTGCCATATATAGAACTGTATTGTCTTTTGTCACATCCCTACAAGGAGAGAACTCTGGATCTCTTTTTCACTCTCTCTTCCTCTATAACAAACACATATACTCCCAAAGGCACGTAGAAAGGGAGAAACACAGGGAGATTGAGAAAATAAGAATCCATGTCCCGGGGATGTGCTCATTCAACTCATCTTTCAGTATCTTTTTTTTGTTCGTTGACCTCTGGAGCTGTCTAGCAGAGTAAGACAGAGCCAGCAGATGCCAGTGATCTCTGAAGAGTGCTTACAATCTCTTTATTGGCCTCTGCATTGAAGAGCAATGAGTTGTTTTATTGAAAATAAATGAGTCAGGACAGACTCAGTAAACGCCGGCAGGTGTGTCTGTGAGTCTGTGCTGGACGCTGAGTGAGCAAGTGAGTCAGTTGAAGTTGTGTTCATGCCTGTGTTGTGAGTACCCTGCCCCTTTGTGAGTAACACTTAGCATGTGGCTGCACTATAGGTTTCCATGACATTGGTATGCATACATTAGCCACAGCTATGCATTCTTACACTTCCCGCTACTAATCTACTTGATAATGACACAAGGAAAGCGTGGCTGCAGAGAAAGTGTGTCGTTCACTGCCATTGCCACCCCCTTATTCTTTCTCTCCCTCCCTCACTCTCTTTTGGCATGTTTTATCCTGAGGGTTAACACAATGGCACATTGTTTATGTCTCATTGGCTCCTTTTTTAAACTACGGGAAAGTCTCATAGAGTTGCCTAACCTGAATGCATTCTTTAGCAGTGTGGAGATGGAATATTTTGTTTTGTTTTTGTCTATCTAAATTAGGGCTGGGTCATAACTGCTCTCAAGTGGTGTGTGACTAAAAAGTGAAAGGTCTTTTGCAGGCATTTAAATTGTATCGCTTCATCAATTCTTTCATTGTAGATTTCTAAATTGCAGTGGATTGCAGCATTTAACTATTTTCTGGCATTTCAGTTCCAGTTTTAGATTAAATACTCAATGGAGTTGACGGGTAAAATCACTTTCCTCCCATAATGCTTCACGCCTTCTTCATTATACTTATCAGTCACTCAACACATTCATAGACCTCACCTGAGATGCCACTTTACGTACGTGTGTGCTTCCTACGTCCTTTTTGCCTAAATGTTTTAAACAGTTTTTCACATCGCTGAGAGATGACATAAAGATATGATCATAAGAAAGCCAACGTAAGATAATAAGTACAGAGAGTTCTTTCTTCCCATGATCTAAGCCAGCTTGGAGGTGTTTTACGAGTGCATTGAGTGATTGATGAGCACAATGTGCACAGCCTCGTGTAATCACTGGTCGATCACCACACCTTGTAGAGAGTCATCCAATCGTCATGGTTCTCTTACATTACTTCCTGCGTGTTAAATGCAAGTCTTAGCTTGGTGGAAAGAGATAGAGGACCCGTTAAGCCTCAACCCTCCCTTATTCTGCTTCCCTGGTAGACGGACAGTTGTAGAGCTTTAAGCTTTTAAGCCCTTGCTACCATACTTGGGAGTCAAAGCTAAGAGGTATTAAATTATTCTATCTTTGAAGATGGGGTGGCCTTTTATATGACGCAAATTAAAAGCATTAATCTTTTCCTCTTTTTTTCATTTGCTTTGAAAAATATTCAAAACTCTTTACCCTTTCGACATATTACAGGTTTCATTTACAACATATATGTAGAGTTTGAAATACCAGTTTTACACATTATATACTTCATATATAGAATAGAATATAACATAACGAAAACACTGATATGTGTGATCAGACATGGAATGCTTATTGGGAGGCTTGGTGAGGAGAGCCAAATACATTGAGACTGTATAGGAAAACCTGCCCCAGAGCACACAACCTGTGCACCAATAATTTCCTTAAAAGACCCAACAAAAGCAATGGAAGTGGCCACCATCAAAAATGAGAGGAGAACTGAATATTACAATTTACCAACTCTGTCTGAAATTTACTGAGCTTGAGAGGATCAACAAGGGAGAATTGGAGGGATTTAATTTTCCAAATGCAGATGTGCAAAGCAGGGAGAGGCATAACCAACACTACCTGATGCTGTAATCATTGGCAATGGTGCTCTTTGAAAGCATTGAATACAAAATCTAAATAAGTGATAAAATAATAATTCATATGAGATTTTATTTTTTAATTAAGTTGAAAAATTAACAATTAATAATTACTTTTACTCATAATGTATTTGTAACATATACAGCACATGTTCTATTTTGATTAATGAAATTAAAACTTTCATTTCATTTGGTTTCATTTGGGAATGTTTCTTTTTTAATGTTGTTTGTTTTGGAGGATGTAGAATCCTGTCCCATTGTGAAAAGAATAAGATGCCTATCTTATCTGACAAAAGTTACATAAGACAGGAAACGGAAAGGAGAGCACAATACTTGGTGATTACAAGAAGTAAATCAACACAATATGCATACACAACATTTTCTCTTATTCATTTTATTGCAACTGCAAATGTAAACCCATGAATTCCAAATGTTAACACAACACTTACATGTTTCACAAGAGACATACATGCTTTGTGAATACTCTTCTTTATTTGGTTCAAAGGTGTCCATGATGATCTTCTTAATTTCTTTGTTGTGTCATTGCAGCTCACTGATGGAGGCAAGGCAGCCAAAGCCAAGATGAATGTTGGAGACATCATTCTGTCCATTAATGGCATTTCCACAGACAGCATGAACCACCTAGAGGCCCAGAACAAGATTAAGGCCTGCACAGGCCAGCTCAGCCTCACTCTACAGAGGTAACAGTTTCACACATACACACATTCTGCAGCATAATCTATAAATTTACTAGCTCAGCAATAGAGATCATACTGTTGCCTAGCACTGTTTATTTAAACCTTTTTGAATAATTTGTACAGCGATAGCTGTTACTATATGAATTTCACACTACTTTTCACATGATAGTGAACAGACAAACAAAAAGGTCTTTAATCAGTAATAGCAAGCTTGATTGCCATATTTGGTTTACTTGTGCTGTATTCAATTTGCCTTCTCATTATTTGAAACAGATGAACTCCTCTTGTGCTAATTTAAAACAGTTCAGTGTTTCTGCCCCAGCAGAAGTCGTGCCCCCGAGCTCCTGCATTGAGTTTGGGAACATGAAAAAGACTTAATTAAACTTGATGTTTCTTGCACGGTGGCATCAGTTTCTGTCATTCGCATTATAATTAGAGTTCATTGGCGAGCATGGCATTGGATTTATAATGATTCCCTTGTGTTCTGGAAAGCTTATTTTAAGACAATGTCATGGCACAGTTTACAGTACAGCCTCGCTTTGTGATTATATTAAATGCATTTATTGAAAATCAATAGAACTGAGGGTTAAGTCCCAGTTACACTGTGGGCCCAAGATCGGAAATCTTGTCCTTGGATCTCCAGTAAGAACAAGTGTAGACTTTTCTACAAAGAGAAGGATTCAGTCTAAATAACTTATAGGGTCTATCTACAAAAAGGCCAAAGCTTCACTCGCACACTTGGAGTTTGTTTTGTAATACAAAGAAAAAAACTCAAACTCAACACTACTACTACTTTCACTGGTAGAACTTAATGTCACCTTGAAGATGAATGCAAAAAAGAATGATCACTTCTAATGAATGTTAGCCAAGCACTTCAGCCACACAGTACATCCTCTGCAGCCAAGTGTAAAGCAGTGTGTAGTTTTAGTGTGAGACACAAACAAATGGAGGCAAAGCACGCACACTTCCCAAGCTGTAAAACATGTTGACAGAAAAACTCAAAGCCTGGTTTGCATGTCCTGTCATTCCACCACCACATCAAAGCAGAAAGGAGCCTCTGTGCTTTAATCGTGGGAAAATAGTCCTAAAATAGCCCTGTCCCACAGCTGCATGTAATCTACTGTGGGTAATGGATGCACAATGAAACATCAAACATTCTGGTCTCACAGTACATGTTAACTACAACTAAAATCACCCACTGAACAACATAGTTTCCTTGTTACAAATGATATGTGATCATTCTTTGTTTCATTTCTCACTGCATTTTTAGACTTGAGAATTAAGCATATTATATCACTGAAAAGAAGGTTAGGAAAGTGGGATTAGATGACCTTCATCCTATTGTCTTCCTAAAGTACCTAAAGCTCAGTGGAATGTACTTCATGAAGCACTATAAGAACACTATTTAACTAGAAGAATTCTGTCTGACATGCACCACTTTTTCCATCCACGTTCTCAGATTTGATTTATGACTTTGATGATCACCGATAAGACTATCAGGGTTATAATAACATTCCAAGAGTGCCAAGAGATGATTAATGTGACTACAGTTTAGTACCATTATGTCAGTTTGTCATAGTTCACATTCTCTGGGCAGTTCCTTAAAAAGACACATCCAAATATGCATGGTGCATGTGTGTAAAAATGTCAGCATCCCACTGAGAAGATACACTACAGCCCTACATTTATTTACTGGCCAATTAATTCAAAAAAGTTCTTAAACAAAAAAATTGCATATTAGCTCTGTCCACTCTAATGTGCTCAGCTGTATGCAGTGATTTCACTATAAACAGCTGGATAATGAAGTCTATCTGTGCTTTAAACAAACAGGAATCACACATTAGATAACATTTATCTACAATAATCTGAAAGAGATAACGCAGATGTACATTAAATAGTTTATATAAGATAGATGTGGTAGAATGATTGTCATATTTCCAATTGCTAGAAATGTAATGTACAAAAGAAGCATCCAATTAACACCATTTATGTGTTGCATATTGTGCAGTATTTCCTTATATTTTCTGGCCAAAAAGACACTTAGGGTCATTGATGCCAGTATGTTTATTTCCTTGTTGCTAAGTAAGGGGATGTTTTCATCAGGGAGGAAATGGACTTATGGTTTGAGAGTACTCTCATCCTCCTGTTGCTCCACTATACAGTAAATCATAACAGAACTGTCAAGATGAGTTTGAATGAGCGAAGAACTGTTATGTGTTTTGTGACAGAGGGAGAAACCAGGTTTCCCTTTCCAGGACTGTGGTCTAGGGGAAAAGATGTCAAAACAGCGTACAACACTATTCGCTAACTTTAGCGAATACTGTTGTTTTTCCGATCTCCCAACCTTTTGAAATGTGCTTGTCGTTGATATGAGCAGTAATCAGTGAAATTTATGGGTACATTTTGGTCAACTGTCACGGGGGCCTTGTTACTGAGCAGCTAAAGGGCAGTTACACCAGGCGGCTGTGGGAAGTATCCTTAGGAAAGTATGATAATTGAGGTTCATTTATTGTCATTGAAATATGCAGCACAGCGCAATGAAACACCACTCCCCAGAGGTTGAGGCTGGCTGCACCTGGTTCCAAAACCTCAAAGATAATACAGATCAGTACCCCTAGCTCTGCGACCAAACCATTTTCTGATGTTTCACGCAAGAATTCGTGTCAACTCCCATAGCACAAGAGTGTTCCAGATTTTGTGTGTTTTCCACTTTATGTGCGTATTTGTGTACCCGAGAATACATGCTGTTTCTGGGGGAATAGGAGAGTGTGAAGCTTTTGGAAGGTGTTACGTTTTCACACTATGTTCACTATATGAGCACTTAGACTTTCAAGATATCCTCTGACTCTAGCTACCCTCTTCTTCTTTTGATAACATAACCTCCTCTCTTCTAACTTTAGATTTGATTTACTAAAACTGCAGATTTGTTTTAAATATACCTGTTGGAATATCCCAAACACAGACAGTAAATGAGACAGATAAAGGGGTTTTTCTGCCCATAGGCCACTTACAGTAGCTAAACACAAGTCAGCTAGACAGCTGTGGGTTAAATCTACAGATATTCTCATACATGGCCAATGTATACCCAAATAGTCTTATGGAATGGTTATAACCGGGTGAAGTAGAGGACAATTCAATGGAGCCCAGAGCCCCCACTGACTCCTGGCTGCCTTAGTCTGATGTGGTGTGGTGGTTGGAAGAAAAGTAGGAGAGGATGGGGGCTTGTTATTGCATCGCCTAGACTTGCATTTAAAAAAAGATACATTAACTAGAGTTGCACTTTATTCTGTTGTGGTTGTTGTGGTTGCTGTGTCCAGAGGACTGACCTTACAGAGAACTCGCTCATTTCCCTACTCGCTTTATTCATCAATCTGGTCTCGATTCGGGTTGTATTAATAAATGCAATTAAATGCAAATCTGAATAGCTTTTGTCTACTCCTGTGGTTAGCTTTTAGTCCATTATACTATTGCCAAGACAAGCACACATGACCACTCACACGGTGAAGTGCTTCAGAAGGGGCATGGCACATGGAAACAAATGGTATGAAAGGCCTTCATCACTATGAAGCCAGTGACTGCTGATACAGACAAGTGCACAGGGTTCCTACTTGACACGTGTGCTGACACCCCAGACATGAGCAATAACCGTGTTAGTGAAGTATCCAGGCAACTAACAGCAGCAACAAGCTGTCCAGTTGCACGTTAGTAGGCTTTAACTCTGGAAATAGCAGTCACGTTTCTGTCACTGTTTGCACTGTGACAGTTTAACATCTCCATCCCTTTTTTAAACCGCCTGCTCTCACTCTTTCTAAAGAAATGTCCTTGTGAGCTCTACTTAAAAGCACAAAAATCCCTCTTCCAAGATGGTCATTCAGCAGTGAAAAAAAGGGGGAACATGACGAGACAGGAGTGGCCATATGCCAGACACAAGCTGTGAGTTTTGCCACTGAGCGCATAGGCTGGCTGCACAGAAAAACAGAAATACAGAAAGAAAAGTTATTTTCCACACACACTAATTCCACATCCCTCTGTTGGAGTTTTTGTTTTGCTTTCCTATGTTTCCTCCTTGTTTTCCTTCTTCTCCATGCTTTGGTTCAAATTTTCATGCAGCAGTAAATCTGAAAAACATATAGCGTTTGCCAGGTCTCCCACAGAGTTTTAACATTGATCACACAAGTTAAAGAGGACAGCTGTTGTTCAACAAGCTTTTGGAATAATGCAACCTGTGCATGACATGAATAGCATGTGTGAAGTCTACTCAATTCTATCCTTCCACATATCATATAATATCTGTACCAGGTTCTGACTCCCAGCTTGCTTTAATATGATGATAGTAAACAAAACTATATCTAGAGAATAAAGCATAAGATGTGGACAGATGCTTGGAGTTAGCCGATTTTGGTGGAAGCTCATTGAAGATGTTTTTTATGGAACATTTTAAATACATCTGCAGTTTTCTGCTTCATAAAGCGCGTGTGAAAGTGAAGTGAAAACACTTCAGGGAAAATGAAAGACTGCTCTTATTGGGGCAGTTTTCCCTCCATGTTAAAAGATGGACATGTGAGTCTGTAAGCTGGTGAGACGTGTGTGTGTGTGTGTGTATGTGTGTGTGTGTGGTGAGAAAGCTGTGTCTATTAGCCTTTCCATCATTCAGTCAAATGCCACATGCCAGATTGTTTCTCTTGGCCCTCAAAGAGACACGGGTAGGGTGGAAATGCGTCAGTCTGCTTTGCCCTCGGGCTTATTCCTCCGGTTAACCTCCTTATTCTCTTATTCTGCATCTGTGTGTGTGTGTGTGTGTGTGTGTGTGTGTGTGTGTGTGTGTGAGAGAGTGTGTGAGTGAGCGACGGAGTGCTCAGACAAGTCTATGTTGAAGAAAACCACACTCAGCAAATGTTTTTTTTCTTCCAGCTACACTTTTGAAGCCGTTCAAAGAGTCACTTTGTTTGTATCTTTCACTTATATATTCATTTTTTGGGGGAATATAGTCTGTAAATTCGGTCCATAAATAAATCTTGTAGATATCAGCGTCTGTAATCTAATAAAACAAGGCATCCTGATTAGATTAGGAGGAACAAACTGAAGCGTGTTCCGGGCTGAGCAAAGCCCTGACTGCATCTTCAGCAGAGGCAGGATTTCTCTCTATTATGGACACATACAGTAGCACAAACTGTGGTACTGTGAAGTACAAGGAAAAAAGTCTGATACATTGCAAATACAAACATTTCCAAGATCGGAAAAGCCTCTGATTTATATCTTTTGTATTAATGGATTAGTTCAATTAACGTAAAACATAACATTTCCTTTCGGGATGAACCATGATATCATTTGAAAACGCAGATCGAACATAGATTTACTGTAGACACATATAAAAAAGGAAAATATATTCCTCACATTTATCTGTTTATAGAGAAAAATGTGTACTTGTGTCCTTAATATAGTTCAATATGGATGAGATACAGTATAAACTTAAGTAGGTACTCATGTACTTGTCGTATGCAGTCGTAGCTTTTCTTAAATGAGCCTCTAGCCTTTTAAATAACCCTGAGAACGAAGGGATCCCATTTTCTTTTCTTTTTACTAAATGTTTCTTGTAACTTGACATGTTATTATATATTTCAAAAGTAAACTACAGAGAGTGTGTCACAGTTATACTATCCAAAATCCTTAAACAGAAGCCATCTCCAGAATGAAAAGTAGAAATACACAGATAATTGACATAACAAGGAGAAGACCCCTTATATCAAAACACAGACCATTTAGATTAACTGTGTATACTTGTACACACCAAAAAGCAAACATATGCTCATTCGCCCCCACACACTCACCCAGTGTTAGTGTCTTTGTCATAGCAGAACAAAAGTAGGTCCGGCTAGGCAGGGAACAGGACAGCACAGAGGGGCTGAGCTGAGCAGATGTTCACAGGACCACCCTAGCGAGTGTTTGTTCAGTTTGCTCTGGGAAAAGACAGATAGAGAGTGAATCCGCCCAACCGCCCCACTCTGGGCCACTGATGGCAGATACACACTGCCTCATTGTAGACCGGGTCGTATTTGTAGTGGAATGTGCTGTTTGATCTCTAGACCTTCCACTGTTTTCCCTGGCACAGCGTGCTGTTTCTCCATAAGCAAGTCCAATAATACAAGTAGATTGGAAAATAAGCATACACTATATTAACTGCTAAGTGGAAACTGTAAACGCAAGTATGGGCACAGATGACATCAACATCTAGTTGGAGGGTGGGGCTCTTTAATAAGCCGGGGCCAGGCTCAGTTGTCGCGCCGCTGCTCAGTCAGAAAAGGAAATACGTAAGAGTTTGTTGACTGTTTGCCTAAAATGGCAGAGAAAGGAAGGATGCCAGCGGACATACCGTAGCTGCTGGTCCGGAACCAGCCTTGCTGACTCACTGTCTGTTTTTTTGTTTTTTATGAGGAATTAGGGACGCATTGTCTGTGTGTCCGGACCAAATATAGGACACATTGTTAACGAAGGCATGTGTCTGACTTCGAGTTTTAATGCTTCACTAATGAAATCAATTTAAGACAGGGACTTACATGTGACTTGTGTGTGTGTGTGTGGGGGGGGGGGTTGTATTGCACTTCTGATATGCATTTATACACAATACATCCTAATATATAATAATATCCTTTTTTTTAATTTTATTTGATATTGTTTCAGACAGTATTAAAAGCAAATATTAAAAAGGAAACAAATGGAGGGGATGAAAGGTTGTTGGATATTTTCTTTCTATCCAGGACGTCTTAAGAGGAGAGACAGACCACCCTCCCCTCCCATAGGTGATAAAACTGTGGCAGCTGCTTCAATCATAAGTGTAAATCAGATGTACGCCACACTTCAACACCAGTACACATGTGGACTCTCACCCTAAAGTACAGTGTGTTCACACATACTGGTGGTTATTCTACAAATTACAACTACAAATTACACATATTTGTTAACCATTTTCCAAAGCATAAAGTTTTGAACTGTTGCTACTTTCCAGGCTGCCATTTGTTTCCATTTATTTCAGTGCGCAATAAAAGTAAATTTTCCAAAAGCTTGAACCTTGCTTGAGATAGGTAATGCATCACTGGAAACATTAAGGTGCTTTTATTTATTTATTTAATATACTCATGTCAGTTGTCCAGTCCTTTAATGTAATGAGTGGCTGCTATAAAGATGGTGTGTGTATAGTTTTTTAAAAATTGTCTTTCTATCTTCACAGACCCTCCAGTGCCCCTAAAGATGGAGTGCCTAAGGTATGAACTAACATATTCACAAAAAATCTGTATATTAACTCAAATTGAACTGAATTCAATTTGGTTATGAATATTATACCAATTTATTAAAAGTGAACATGCATTTTGTTCCCTTCTGAGATAATGTCAGAGCACAGATTGGCTTGGCATGCATAGCTTACCTGAGAGGCCACATTTTTTTTTGCACATCTTAAACCTGTATGGCACAGGCATGACTTTCATTCATACAGCAGTGTGACAACACAATTGATTTGGATGGTTTTGCAGTGCTTTTGGGAATGCTGGTTTACCTTGCATGAGTTGATTGTGGATTTGTTGTATGTGCACGCTGTGTGTCTCCACCTTTATCTAGGACGAACCTCAAGAAATCATTAAGCCTGTGCCAATCACTCACCCTGCCCCAAGCACCACATACACCAAGCCATCAAGTCAGTCCAGTCCTGCATACAACAAGACAGCCCGGCCTTTTGGGGGCGGCAGCGGTGTGGTCACAGCTTCTGCCTCCCCAGATGCCCCCAAAGTAGCCACCATTCCCTCCGCATCATCCGCTTTCACGCCTGCTGCCCCTTCTCAACCACCGCAGCCTCCATTTCCACTGAAGTCGAGCCCCGCTGTCCCAGACTCCTCTCCGGCCAAATCAGTTCCCAGACCCAGCCCTGGCCGCTCCACCTTCACCTCCACCTCTGCCTCTTCCTCCTCGTCTAACTCCTCCTCTCCAGCCAGAGTGACAGCCCCTTCCTCCCAACCTAATGTCCCACAGCCCTCCGTCTATAACACCCCCATCAACCTCTATTCCAACAACAATGCTTGTGAGGTGGCTATGGGACAGAGACGAGGTCTTTTGGAGAGCCAGGGGCTGTCAGAGCACTTCAATGGGTAGGTACCATTCATCAGACCCAGTTACCATATGTTTTCTCTTACACTGTCCGTTTTTAATCTGCAGAGTAAAGCTGAAGTCATATATTTATATGAAACAACCTCACTATTTATGTTGGTGTGAGTGAAAAATATTATAGAATGATTTAATAATACACACACACACACACTATGTGCTTTAGTCAGCAAGTCCAGGAGGAGTTGTGGTTCACAGAGGCCACCGATTAGTGGACTCTTTTGCTTTACGGTCAACCTGAAGGAATGGATTACAGAAAATTAAATATTTCATTCTGGTCTTTCTGTATTACCATGTCGCATTTCACCCCAAAATATGTGTCTCATTAGAAAAACTAACATTGAAGCAGCCCGTCACCTATGTTTTCACACAGCTGCATACTGGGAAAATCCAAGGCATGCTGCACATCTTGTTTAAATCTACCACAGGGCAATTGGAAAGGGAACAGAGTCTACACAACATGCTAACTGATGCTACTGCCTGCCTATCTATAATTGACAGTGGGGTTTGCAACTCTGCCAAGCACACAGTCTGCCCAACAGGCACTGCTGGTGTAACACTTGTTTCTAATTAGCCAGAATCCTGGCAGGTCCGTGCTTTTAGGGACCGGGACACCAATCTTAGTTTGGCTGGACTGGGCTCCATCGGCACAGTTTGGCTCACTGGATGGGTTGCAGTAGACTGAGCTAGGCTTAAGTGATTTGCCACTCATTCTTTACTCTGTCACCTGAAAAGTGGCTTTAAGTGAGCAAGTGGCTTCGCACCTAAATACATCTGGGAAATCCACCTATATCTGTACGTTATTATTGGACACAATGTTACTGTGTCATCTTTTCAGTCTTTCTGTTGCCTGAAACCTTGGACTGTCCACTTATAGAGGTGGAGTATATTGTTGCAGCATGTGTGTGTTTGTGTCCTGGCATGCTTTGTTTGTGGTTCCTGTGGTTCTCTCTATGCACATTCTCTCAGAAGGGCCTTTCACTAAATGTGTTAGGGACTATGATCTATTTCTCAAACTGATCTATCCTTCTTGGCTTCAATCCTTTTCCATTTACCCCCTTCTCTGCCCACAGGAGGAAGAAGAGACAGGCCCCAAGTTAGTTATGTGAATGATAATATATCTGCTGCAGTAGCTTTCTAACCATGTGGAATGTGATTACAGCCTTCCCATCTCTCTGGTTTATGATTACCAGAGGCATGCTTGCACCTCTTTGAGCTAACCTTCACAAACCTCACATTCATGCTCATCCACTTACAGCACATGCTCATACAAACAAACTGCAAAACCTCCACTGTAAATAATCTATCTCTGAGACACCACGGGACACCCAGCGGGGGTCAGCTCATACTGGTCATTCATTTTCCCAGTGACATCAGGCTCTGTGTTAGCTAATACTGTGTTTACACCCAGTGCAGGCAGGACTGTCACTGGGCTACTCTGCATCTGTCGAGCTCCATCTGCTACCGCTGTCAGTGTGTTTACTCAAGGCCAGATAAATCACTGCACAGTATATTCTGCTTTGTCCAAGAATAGCCTGACTTGTGCTGTCTTTGATCATCCTTCACCTCGACTCACCTGACACACACTCTCGCGCACAGAAACAAACACACAGAATTGAAAATACACACACTTGAGCTTTGGACATTAAATTGACTCACAATTTGGACCGGCACTCAAACTAAACTGTGCATGTAAACACTTAACGTAAATATTATTGTATTCTAGAGTGCCATCAAATCATTTTAGGAAGCCTTTATTTTCAAGGCACATTACTCCCACCATGTGGTGAGATACGGTCACTGTCACCTTCGTCTCTCAAACACTCACTGTTGTTAATATGTAGTGTGCAGTTTTAATTTCACCAGTATAGTATAGTAGATCTGATTGCACTTCACATTTATACTGTCATTAATCAATAAACTTTAGACATTAAGATTACTTTAAAGAAATACATGTAGTTTGATTATCTGGCTGACTTCTGCTCTTCTATTGTGGTATTCCTTCCCAATAGTGAACCTCAGAGAAGTCTTAAGTAAGTATAGGTCAGAACAGTTTCTCGACTTACCAATATAAACAGTGCAGTGTCATTCTGTATAATTAGCACTTAATGTGACTTTTAATTTATGATTGTTTTCTGCCTTCGTGCATTATCCTTCAACACCTTCTCGTTGCTCGCCTGCAGAACCCCACCACCAGCTAGACCTAGGAGGTAATTGTGAAGTCTTACAGCAGTTAGGTCACACTGTGAAACATGTATCGACAAGCTACACCGTTGACTGAATATGGAGCACTTGTTGCATAGTACAGTATATACAACGTGTGTGCTGGGTTGTTAACATGAATGTTAGTTGTTTGTGAGCTTGCGTGTGTGTATTACCCGGAACATCATTATCCTGTGGTAGAGGTTCTGTAATATTTAACAATGTAATAAGTGTTTTAACAGTTGTTTTTTTTTAGTTTAAAACACAGATGTTTTCCGTGTCTGTAACGTCATCATTTCTTGGTTGATCTGACTATACAGGAAACCGGTTGAGGAGCCAGAGAATCACGTGTCTCCACTGAGCGATGCCAGCAAGAAGCGTCTGATTGAGGACACGGAGGACTGGCACCCACGAACCGGCACCTCCCAGTCCCGCTCCTTCCGTATCTTGGCCCAGCTCACCGGCACTGAAAATGGTGTGTACCAACATTGGTGTGCTCACAGTGCCTTAGACAGATTTCTGATGAACACTAGCTTATTACTGTACACAGTGTTAAAACTGGACGAATTTAATTGTAAGAATTATTTGAGGAATGTAAGGTTCAGCTTGGTATTGCTGTCAGTTCATTTACGATCCATTAAACCACTTTAGGCTTAACATTTGACAGATTTATACAAAGATGACCAATTTTAGGGTAATATTTGGCTACATACTTTCTTCAGAAGCTTTTATATGCCTTTAATAATGTCCCTGTTTTATAAGCCAATTTTTTTAAATCAAAACTGCAGTGCCTCCATAGATTACAGTTTCTTTAGTCATAGTAGCTTTCATCACCCTATCATTTAATATATTTTTTATGGTAGTGTTTTGACATTGATGGTTAGATGAGCCGGCTGCGGCTTTGGGCTTCACTCCATCGGTTGCGCATATATATGTGTGTGTGGATCTGTTTTACTGATGCAAAATGACATTTACAGTAACTCAATTATTAGAATGAAGTAAGATGAGAGATTTGTCTTCCTCCGTCTCTCTTTTTGTCAAATGATATTACCAGACTGGGGTGGAATATGTGATGAGCTCTGAACATTTGATGGATATCCATTCTGTTATGGTGTTTCTGTAGCTGTGAACAACTGAGGGGAAGATGGGTGCAGGAAGTCGCATCAAGGTTTAATTTCAGTCATGTAGTTCTTGCATGACAAGATGAACCTACCGTTGAACAAACTGGAATACCACTGTTTTTAACATTGTGATTCTCTGCATTCTCAGTGACCTTTTTATTATACATTGCACTTCATTTTCATCTTTTTTTTCTTCACTGTTGCAGAGCAAGCTCAAGAGAACAGTGGAAAGAAGTAAGTGGTTGGTGGTTTTGATATAATCAAATCTGGTATGTGTTTGTGAGTGTTCGCTCTCTGTGTCTGTCTTTCTCTCGTCTGAGTACTTTCGCAGGACATATAGTCATGCATGTGTTCTAGCAATGGCGTTTTTAATGTTACAACAATTTCTTGATCTCAATTTGAGGTTTCACATTCAGAATTGGCCCTCAAAGTACTCATGTAAGCATGTCTAGGGGCCTGTAATTCACAGTTAAGCCCTGATTTCCTGATCTTATGGTCCCACAGTATCATGCTTAATTTAAGGCTTAATTTGGAGAAACCACACTGAGAGCTCTTAAAGGAAGATGGTTGAATGGAGACAGCCATAGACTCAGCACAGGCTGTGATTGCTACTGCTGTTCTCAGCCTTAAATCGGTTTAATCTGCAGTAAACACAGTCTGCCCTCCGTACCAGATCCCCAACCAATCAGTGTGTCACTCACTGGAAACTGTGGGTAATTAAATGGTATTGTGGGTAATAGCCGCCCTGCCAGATGAGATTCCTGCTCTTCCTGCGTTGGTGAGATTGTGTACACTTCCTTAAAAGAAGGTAGATATTACACATCTTCCTCAGCTTATAATTCGATACACATCTACACACAAGAAGAATCTTACGTTTTATATTAATCTCTGACAGTGCTATGTTTTTGGTGCTATTACTATTCTTCCCTCATTTATCCATGTGCTTCCTCTTGTGTTATGTTTTGCTTTTCTTCTTCAATCTTAACCTTCCACCTTTTCTCTTCTTTCTCTTTAAATCCTGTTTCATGGGGCAAATAGAGCGAACAAGTTGGACCAAGAAGTCATAGGACACAAGTACAACAAGCTGAGAGATTGGCATCATGATGTTTCAGCACGAGTGCTAAATGTGTAATAGACACGGATTTGTTTTGTCTTGTTTCATTTGTTTACCGTTCTTTTATTTATTTTATTTTGCCTATTATTAAAAATACTTGCCTCCTTTTGCATACCGACATAGTGGCAGCCTTCATTTGGCTCTTATTTAATGTCCCAGTTCAATGTCCCAAAAGTTTTAAACAACACAATTTGTTTTTACAAATACAGGATCACACAACCTCTGTTGTAAAAAGTGTTTTAAGGTACATATTATCTGGCTATATGCATTTATATTCTAAAATGTTAATGAAATGCATGTAAGTAAATATGGGTGTGTGCTTGGAAATGCAGCATTACATAATATTGCAGTGTATTGTGTACTTTTCTGTAGCATAGTGTTTATGTCGAGCTCCATCTGCAGCTGCTTTCGTTACGCCTCCACTTTCCTCTGCACACTTTCTGTAATCTTATACTTTATTTTTCTGAGCATGTTTGTATCTTTTCCCTCTATTTTCTACACTAACCAAAAATGTTTGTCAGCCTTTGATGACTTTTTCTCAATAAACTGTTTTCTGTCTTTTCTGCTGTTGCTTATTTCTTAATCTTTAATTTTCAGTTTAATCTTTTCTTCTTGCCTTGAAGAACAAAAGTAAACTTGTCAATTAGAAATATAACAGTAGGTGAAGGTCTATGATATGAAACACAAAGAGAGGATTAACAATGCCTGTATTGTTCTTACTTGAGCAATGAGACAAAAAATTACATTGTTTAAAGTACAATCAAATATGAGTCAGTTCTTTTTATAGGCAATAGTTCTCCAAGCACTGTTCAAACATTTTAACCACGAGAACCATTTGGTGTATTTCATTTCCATTGTGTTGTTATTATTGTCATTACAAGTTACTGATGGTCACCAAAATAAATAGCCCCATACCTGGTCTTGGCACATATCATTTAAAACCATAAACATGTAGTTGATGAGCTAAATTTAAACACTGTATTCCATTAAAAAACGTCTCATCATTTTGATGTTAGGCCGGCAAACAGATTCAGACGCATTCACCCAGGCAATCTGTACATAACTGCTGATAAATGTAATCACATGTGAGACATAAAACCAGCGGGTGATTCCACTGCATATGCTAGTCGTGTTTAAACAGAAACCTAACAGGCTGGATAAGATAAAGAAAACAAGATCAAAACCATGATAAAACACAAAACCATAAATCAGTGGTTGAGAGCACAATAGGCGCTGTTGTGAGTAACATGCAGCTTCAAGGTGACAAATTGTTAACCTGGTGGTGCAAATCCTTTGCCCAGCAATTCTATCTGGGCAATAAGAGTACCTATGTAAAGGTTGCTGAGTGTTCATGTCTTTTTACGGTTGAATGGGATCTTCTGAGCCCCGTTATTGCCCAGCACCATATGTCTCCCATGGATTGTTGCAGTAGAATACTTCTAAAGGGCAGGCCAGGAAAAAAATATTTAAGATTCAATCACATATTGTATAATTAGAGAAGCAGATTATATATCAAACTACTCTTAACTGTTAAAGCATTAAATCTTTACTAGTTGAGGAATGTATGCACGTTTTCAGCCTTTATTGAGTTTGAACCCTTTGCTGCCCCAGGAGGTTCTCAGCTTGAAATGAAAGCTGTGAAATTTTACAAGGGGTGTGGACTAGAAGGACTAGTGCTTCTCATTTTCTACTAAAATATATTGTGGATCTTAACATTTTGTACTGCCATGGGGGAATGAAACCACCACTGCCTCAAACTGTCTCCATCCTTTCTGTTCCAGCAGAATAACCACTGGTTATCTCCAGAAATGATTAGAGCTACATGTAGAGATACTATGGTATCACCACCTGTAATTGTTTCCTTATGTGAGTAATTTGCAAACCATAGTGACAGTGGGCGGCAGTGCATATCCTTATTCGAAAGTGTCCCATAATTGATTGTTTGCATGTGTCAGTGAGATTCCAACCAACTGTGGCAGACGTTATTATCTGCAGGTGACCAGATCACACGGAGCACTAGTCAGTACTGGAGGTTCAGTTCAGTTAGTGGCACAGTCCCACTCTTAGATTTCTCTCCTATTCATGGATTTGCTGCAGTTAGCACCTAAAATTGTTTAAATCCAAGGAAAATACAAGATAAACAAATGTACTACATGTATGTATAAATCTGTGTGTGTGTGTGTGTGTGTGTGTGTGTGTGTGTGTGTGTGTGTGTGTGTGTGTGTGTGTGTTGTAGTGAGTTATGATTTATATGAAATATGTATATCTATTTCCTAGTGAGGCAGTTGACAAAACCACTCCCACTGTGCACACCTCACCTGCAGCGAAAACATATTCCAAATCTGCAGCTGCACCCAGGAACGGCAACGTCATCCCTGCTTCCGCAGGGTTCAAGAGCCCGGCAGCCCAGAACAAGCCTTCCTTCCAGCCTGGAGGTCCATCAGGTACAGGAACACATTCAGAAATCCTCCCCTACTTCTGCTATTTGCTGCCACTTTAATAGTTCTGCTTCTGCCAGGAATATAGTATTTATTTTGTGTAGTTTCTTATTTTGGCCTACAGAGGGCAGTCCCTTTCTTTTAAATCACTGATGCTCAGCTGTAAAATTTATTGCAGGTTTAATACCTGACAGTAAGCCATTTAAGATTATGAGCACTATAAAAACCAGAGGTATTCCGTTAATGAGCTCAGATTATTGGCTTTTCCCAAGATCCCCTTAGTTAAATAGATTGTGAAATTGAGAATTATATATTTTATTTTGTGTGAAAGCTTCCCTTTAAATACAGCAATCCCTGCCACGGGACCTCGAGGTGGTCAGGGTAAATATTTGCTGAAAGGCATCAGTCAGGGGTCATTATTAGCAATACTAAGACACAAGTATGCACTCATAGATGAACAGATGCACTGTGGGCCCTAATGTATTTCCCTAAAGGCCCTTTAAGAAACTGCTGCTGAAAGGTGCCACAGGGTAAGAGCCGGAGAGGCCACAGTTAGTTCTCTGTTGGCTGTGTTATTTATCAGATTAACACGTACTTGAGTTCAAGTCAACAAGCACGTATCTCATAGTGGCCATGTGGAATTGGGCTGGGTGTGTGGAATGTGCTACGTGACCTATAAATGTATTTACATGAATTCATAATTTTGGTGCCTTCAAAAGCAAGGAATTAGTCAAATATTTATGCTGCAAGAGAATCGTTATAAAGATGCTCATTCAAATTATATAAATAGGGCCTTAATCCAATAGATATAGTTCAGAGTCAGAGTGACTTCTTTTGCATTGCTTTCCATCCCACTGTTTCTGAATTTAGAGAGACAGACGTGACAACACTGAGCTTTGCAGTCCTGCTGTGATTCAGTTTGGACGCCTTCTCATGCTGACTTTTTTTCTCCTTATCTCCCTTATACAGCAAGACAGCAATGACAGACTTACAAATGTCTGTTTCACTTGCTGTCCTATTTAATGTGACTCAGCCCTCGGCTGACAGGTTGTCAACATCCACCTCACTTTAGCAGCTTTCACACAGATAAAGCCACATAGTGCCATTTAAAGATATTTTGACTCCTGTCTAATTCCCTGCATCAGTGCCACCTTTGATTAAATATGAATCTTTTAATCTAACATAAGTTAATGGATAGTAGATGCTAAATCATGATACCATTAAGCACAGCATCAGCTTGCTGCCGTTGAAGCCTGCACATTGGCATTTCTTTCTCGTCTTTTCTCTCTTTTCTCCTCGGATGAACACACACTTTACTGACTGGTTGCTAAACCCTCAGATTCCCAGAGAAAATACCAAGGCCATCACCTCCTTAATTGTAGCTGTGGTCCTGCCCAGGAAGTGTTATGTAATTTTAGGCATAATTATGTTACAATTATGTGACATGATAATGTCGCTGGAAATTGGCTAATGGTGTTTATATCAAAAGCAGCTCGTCAGATTATCCATAACAGAAACATTAAGGAAAGAAGTAATAACATCTAAGAGAGAATCTTCTTTGTATCTTCATCACACTTACTCTGTAGTATCTTTCTTCCTATTAAACCCACTCCCACAGTCTTCTCACATCCCTGCTAGTGCCCAGTTCTGTTTATTCAGTTTGTTTGCTCTCCATTACTAGGAAATTTAGGGAGCACTTATCCTTTGACCTCCCAAGTCTTTGATAATGGTGCTCTCACTCAATAGTCTCTCTGTCCCCGATGCCTTTACCCTCAAGCGCTCCCTCTGAGGGCAGACAGCACTGACCTCCTGTCCTGGATGTGTCTATGCACTGTGAAAGAGAATAAGAAAAACTGTGCATCCTCTCCATGTGTTTTGAGATGAGAGGAGGGGGATTATTTTTCCAGGTGTCTCCTCTGACTCTGGGAATGTGTTTTTTCCCTCAGTGGGAAAAATTGATCCCTTGTCTGGGCTGGGTGGGGTCACTCTGTCCAACCCAGCTGTCTCATGCTTCAGGCATGGTGGTTAGAGATCATCAAATAATTTCCATTCATTGTCTAAAAACACACATCTAAAGTGTGCACATATGTTCTGGTCAAGTAATGCTAAGAAATAACAACTGTGGAAAGTACATTTTGTCTAATACTTTATCTACACTCCTCCCCAGCCCATTTCTTTTTCCCATTTGAATACTGATCCATTATTTTCCCCGCTGGTTTAGGATTTCCAAAGGGTGGTGCAGCTCCTTCATTTGGCAAAGTTGCCAATCCTGCTCCCAAAGGACCAGACCGCCCAACTCCACAGCCGCATCCACAGGACCTCAACTCTCTGGTGCAGCGGGCTGAGCACATCCCAGCCGGCACGCGCACCCCGATGTGCAGCAAGTGCAACAATGTCATCAGGTAAGTAACATCAGAAACATTGCATTTACAGTAAGAATTTGGCAATAATAATATAAAACATGTCAGTGATAACAGAATTTAGTAAAACCCTACACAAATTGTACTGTGCAGAATTCTTGGTTATGTGTTAAAAACCTTAGTAGGTGGGTGATTTTATTACATTTTAATCAATTCCCTCTGTCCATTGCTTCTTCTCACCAGGGGCCCATTCCTTGTGGCCATGGGCATGTCATGGCACCCTGAGGAATTCAACTGTGCTCACTGCCACTCCTCCCTGGCAGTCAACGGATTTGTGGAGGAGAAAGGCCAGGTGTACTGCGAATGCTGCTATGAGCAGTTCTTCGCCCCCACCTGTGCCCGCTGCCACCAGAAGATTCTGGGGGTGAGTTACAGAACTGAAGGGATATTGTTCTCAGCCTTAGTCTGAAAACTCTCTCTTTACTAATACAATATACATCATTCACTGTTCTTCACTTAAAGAAATAAAGCAGAGGTTGGCTGCTTAATGCCTTGTAGTGAATGTTATGATAATGCTTGAATTCAACCATTAAAACAAATGCAAAATACACATAATCTGTTGTACCTGTATGATAGTAAGAGGTCTGGATATGTCCAAACAAGAGCTGGAATGTAGATATACAATGATATTCTTACTGTAATGTCATTATAGTAACATTTCTTATGCTGTGGCTAATTTGATCTATTCCTATTTGAGATTACATGTATTTAGTGTCTGAAGTACTTCTAAAGGATAATTGTAAACAGTATAATCTTAATTAAACTTGTGAGTCTTTTTTTTAATTTCTAAAAACTGTCCTCAAATTGTTTGATGGATCATTTGAGGACTGTACAATAATAAACTTGAACAAGCTGTTCCTCATTTATTTCTTCTATTTTCTCTGTAGGAGGTCATGAATGCCCTGAAACAGACCTGGCATGTGTCCTGTTTCATCTGTGTTGCCTGCCAACAGCCAATCAGAGGCAACATGTTTCACATGGAGGATGGACAGCCATACTGTGAACAAGGTACAGTGGAAAGCCCGCAACAATAAAGTAAATGTTGTAAAGAAACCAATGCATGCAGACCGAATAACAATTTGTCGATGTACTGTTCACTCAGACTACTACAACCTGTTTGGGACTAACTGCCACGGCTGTGACTTTCCCATTGAGGCGGGCGATAAGTTCCTGGAGGCTCTAGGTTTCACCTGGCATGACACCTGCTTTGTGTGTGCGGTAGGTCCAGTACAGTGTCACTCACAACGTTTAGATCTAACAATAAAAAAAATGTTGAGAATGTTGCCTGAATAACAACACCGCTCTGTATATCTTTGGCTCTTTCCACAGGTCTGCTCTGCTAATCTGGAAGGTCAGCCGTTTTTCTCCAAAAAAGACAAGGCTCTGTGCAAGAAGCATGCCCACACTGTCAACATCTGACCTGCCACCATGAATATGAATGGGATAGGGCAACGGTGTCAGTTTACAGCAATTTAAATTTCAGTCAGATGCTAAATACTTTAAGAATTAAAAGTTATTTGATTTATCTGTTTCTGTTAGAATAACATTGGGTCAGAGGTTCCACTGTAAGCTTTAGTTTTGCTCTAATATTGTTTTATATATAGTTTGTATCAGTTCTATAGATCATAATATGCAGGAGTACATTTAAATACACTGTTCGCCGCCCTGCCTGTTTAACATCTGTGCAAGTGGATATTTAACACACATGTGTTTGTGTAGAGCTTTTTTATTTGTGCTGTGTGTTGAGCTCTTGATGGGGCGTTTTTTTCCCTTCACACAGAACAGTGTAGTAGTACTGCAATGACCTACTGAGCCCCTCAGGGGTCACATACAGTATTAGGAAAAATATTGATGTGGAAAGATATGCTATTAGTTAAGTGAAGTGGTTTAGTAATTATAATTATTTAACCTTAAGGGGAAGAATTATTTATTTGTAAGCAAGGATTGCTCAGTCAACATGCATTCTGGCAACAAAAAGACATTGGCATTTGGCCATCAGAATAAAAATGGGAAATTTTAATTATGTTATTATTTTTTATTGTTTTAAAGCGATGTGGTATGCAGCCATTCCCAGTAATTGAAACCACAGAAAAGTAATGTGTTCAGCAGTGTTTAAATTAGATACTGTACAGGTCAAGTTTCATTGTTAATACATAAAAACTATATACAAGGATTAAGTTCAGTCTGGTCATTACTGAGATAACTACATATAGCCTAGATCAAGTGGTTATGTTGTGTTTGTGTATATTTTGTAATATCTATAGTTCAGGTGCCAAATGGCTCATGGTTATGCTTCCAGTGAATACCTACATGAAACTGTGCTTCATCTAACACAAAACAATGTTAATATATATATTTCGGTTTCCCTTTGTCTTGCACAATTTGTTTGAATAGAAAAAAACCCACAAAACTCTATCTACTTGTGCAATGGATTCTCACTGGATAAGCACCTCTCTCCTTACTTTCATTTCAAATAAAAGGGTTCAACAGTGAACACCATAATCAACGCTCTTGTCTCTTATGTCATACAGCCTTTTAACATTATCTTATACTGTTCTTTGTGGCTAACACTGGACACTGGAAACATTAAATTCTTTGTCCTGCAAATGCCTTGCTTATGTTTTATGCATATCTACTCTTTATGTGTTTGTCAATGCATAGAAAGCATAGCAGCAAAGCACTAATGCATTGTGTGTTATAAATCTGTAGTTGTGACAATAATTATTCAGAGAAGTTTAACAGACAGGCAGACAGGCACCAGCATGAGCTGCCACTTGTACCTGTAGTGAGAGACAGAAGTACACATCACCATAGGGACAGGAGGAACAATACCCACCGGGCACAGACACACACAGACACACACACAGACACACACACACACACACACACACACACACACAATTGGTGCATTCTTTCTTATATGATAACAATGCTGGTTGTAAACAGTCATTATTTAATTGGAGTGGCAGACAACCGGAGACAGATACTCTTATGTTGAGTTATGATGCAGTGTTATTGGAGTAATACAGAGTACCGCTGATGTGCACTTCTCCAAGACGTCGGAGGTGGGAGCTGTGCGCAGGACGACGCCAGATTTAACCAGCCTCAAATAACGCGTGGTACACTTGGAAAACTCCGCCACAACACAGAGGGACACAACCGAATAAAAGAGAGCCTAGAAGAGTTCCTATCAAGACAAACTGGGACCTTGTCGAGCTGCTTGTACAGCGGAGAGAGACGGTAAGGATACTTTGTGCGCAGTAGTCTGGTCTGCGTCGGAGCGCAGTTTGAGCTGAAGCGATAGTCTTTCTGATTGTCAAGATTTCCTCACTGAAACCAGAAGGCTCCTTGATGTGTTTACCGTGCTGCTGTTCATTGAAATTCAAACAAGGGGCTTGTTTTGCTGCCTGCGCTGAGTTTGATGCTGGTAGCAGCTGCTGGCGATCAGCGGGACTCCCGGCAGTGTTATTGAGTCTGTGGTGGTGGTGATGATGATGATGATGATGATGCTTATCAGTGCCATGATCCGTCTTAAAATCTGATCTGAGGGTCGAATGTGGTTTCTAAAGTGCGTTAGGATGAGATGCAGTTGAGTTGATTGATAAATAATTCACATTTACTACGAGTGAATGAATTAAAGTGATGAAGGTCTCTCCAGGTAAAATCTGAATATGTTGCTGAGTTCTTGCTGTCTTGTTATGACTATATAACATAGTCATAATATAGTAGTGGAGGAGGTAAAAATACTCCATTACAAGTCAAATTCATACATTTAAAATATAAAAAAATGTTTTAAAGTACTGAAAGTGAAAGTACTCCATGCAGAGAAATGTCCCCTGTGACTGTTATATACTATTATATATTTTACCATTAGATTATTATTACTGATGCATTAATGTAAAAGCAGGATTTTACTGTTGTAGTTGGTTGAGGTGGAGCTAAATTTAAACTGTTTTCTGTAGGACTGCAACTAATCATTATGTTTTTATTATGGATGAATGTGCTGATCATTTTCTTGATTAATCAGTATATTGATTTCTAAGATTTGAGAAAATAGTAAGAAATGCCCAAAAGCACCCAGAGCCCCAAGTGACACATTGACAATGCTTGTGTCGTCCAAACAATAGTCTGAACCTCAAAATTATTTAAAATAAATACCGCTATTTAAAGGGAAAGCAGAAAGTCCTCACATACGACAAACTAAACTGGAACCATGAAATGAACTGAATGATTATCAAAGTAGGAGTTGACTAATCAGTAATTCAACTTATTGTTTCAGCTGTAGCTGTATACTGTTGGATATAAACATCATATTTCATAAACTCTATATAATTGGTATGCAAAAATCTGAATTTGTAAAGTAACTAGTGACTAAAGTTGTCAAATAAATAAAGTGGAGTAGAAATTGCAGTATTTCCGTCTGAGAGTGGAGTAAAAGTAGAAAGCGACATGAAAAGAAAAGAAAAAGTACAGCTCTTGAGTAAATGTTCATTCCACCACTAAACACTTGTATATGGTTAATGAAACAATCTCACCTGGAGCTTTCTTCATCATCATCATCATCATCTTCATCAGTTTCAATTTGCCCACTCTTCATGGAATTGCTCCAATTAAAGGACTTCTCGTCCATGTCTACTAAAAACTCAAGTCGTCAATTCCATGACTAAGATGACTCCATACGATCGAAAGCTACTAAATGGACCTTGAAGTGAATAACTACATGTACCATTATTACACCCAATGTGTGTGTTAACGTCTGGCAGCGAGCTAAAGACTCCATTGCCTGTCGGTGTATAGTGGCGTGGTGTCAATGGCAATATTTGACTGTTGAACGCATGAAACAAAACATCTCTGCTCTGCAGTTGATCACTGAGCACCAGTGAACCAGAGCTGATGTCTGTGACATCACCGAGGTCCTGATGTTTACATCAGCATCTCAGAGCCCAGAGGGAGCCATGCACAACCTGCTGCATCATATGCAGGTCAGTGGTCATGTCTTTGAATGCACCAACAACCCTCAAACTCTCTACAGGACAGAGAAGCTATTTGAATTAGAGCTGAGTAAGTGTTTTTGGGTAATATTAAACACACAGAGCGATCAAACCACCCACCTACCACCCAGTCGTTGCCCTGGCTCTGCCCCTGGCAGGAGTAATGCCTGCCATTAAACTCGATCGGGATGGCATGTCAGGTGAGGGTGCATGGCGAGGTAGCGCTTTGTGGTCTACCACAGACTCAGGCTTTAAGTGTTTCAGCTTGTTGGACTCCCTGGCACTGATGGCTAACAGAGAGTATGTGTGTGAGTGTGAAAAATACCAACGTACGCCTTGTTAGCCCCAGTTATGGTGCAGCATGAAGGCAGGCCTTTCTGTTAAAAATACCTGTGTGATGGTGTCCTCACAGAGCTCTGTATGTAGTGTAATGCTGGCACACAATCCAGAAAAAATAAAAATCTGCACAGCACTTAAAGTGTCAGCCTATTTCTGTGTGCGGGCTTGTGGACCTGTTAATGGACTTCTGAAACCACCACAAATGGAAAAGTGAAGGATAATGAGACATCACACATTTGGAAATATGGCTGCAGGAAAATCATAAAACTCTCACTACCTAACTGATAAAAAAAATGGAAAAATGAAAAAATAATGAAAAAACTAAATAAAATAGAGCTATATGTATATATAATATTTATTGGATTATAGGATTTTGAAGAACATACCCTTCCCTGTAAACAGAAAATCAGAAGAAACAAGGTATTTCGCAATAGTTTTGAGTTTTACGTTAATATGGTGACTTCATTTATTTTACCTGAAACAGCATCAAGTATGTTGAAATAAAGACATCTTTTCCAGGAGAATACCAGCTCCTCTTAGAAACTGTTGCCCATGTGAGTATACCTGCAGCCTCAAACATGAACAAGCACCTAAACACACACACACACACACACACACACACACACACACACACACACACACACACACACACACTCAGTCATTCACTCTCTGATGCACATAAACCCACAAACAAACACTCATGATCTAGGTAGATACTGGCCTCAGTCTGGGGTTGTCCACAGGGCTAAACTTAGCAAGCTGCGACCCCTCACCCCAGTTTCCTCCCTTATAATTACAGGAAATGAGTCCAGCCAATCAGGGCACAGATACGTGGTGCATATTAACAAGCTCAATAGGAGCAGTATTTGAGGACTAGACAGGTAATGGACCAAGTATGTGGGAGAAGGGGAGGGGGTTGCCAGAAAGATGTCAGATATGGAGGAGTGCTCAGGTTTGTGGAGGCTGCAGGAGATTTCTGTTCGAAAGCGGAAGAAAAGTAACACTAAAGCTTTGAGTTTATCAGCTCACACTCCAGCTTTAAGCAGTCTGTCATGTAATACGAGCACAGTGACTGTCAGATGGAGCAAATGGTGGAGCTACACTATATCAAGAGACAAACTGTCAGAGATTCAGTCCCAGACAGACTTTATTCAATGTCTTTTCCAGCTGCCAGGACATTATATTTTTTTCATTATTTCCTTTATTTTTCCACACACTCACACACACACACACACACACACACACACACACACACACACACACACACACACACACACACACACACACACACACACACACACACTGATAAAAGAGCACCTCATATCAAGCCTTTCCAAAGGTATGGCTTTTCCATCTGTCGTTCGTTTACTGATTTCTGCCACTGGCCGCATACACTAACCCTCTGTACTGCATCTCCCATGCACACCCATACATACCAAAGGAAAGAGACAGTCACACGGCCCTATTTTCTTTGTAACAACAACACTGTCAACACAGATGTTGCCTGTGATGCAGGCCTGTGCTTGCATTCGTTCCAGACAGCCTCTCTCTGGAGGATAAATAGATAGATAGACGATCACTTTGTGGCTCATACCCGAAAAGTTCTTGAATTCAGTTTGAATTTCAACGTCGTGATGATCACTGGGAGTATTACACTGTACCTCCTCTGGGTACCATCAGTTAGGAAGTATGGGTGTAACGCAGCTGATCTTGTTCCACTTAAGAAAAAACCTCTTCTTACCTGTAGGCTCTTTGACAATTAATACAGCGATCGGGGCAAGTACAGATGCCCCCCTCACTGTTTCATCTGGAGTCGCTGATGAGAGACAAACGCAGGCAACAGGAATTACTTAAAGCTGCAAGCTGCTCTGCTCTTTGCCTGGAAGGTCACCAACCATGTGAGAGAAAGCCGACTTCCTGTTATTAGAGAGAGGGGCAGAAGGAAAAAAAAGGGAGAAAGAGGTACAGGATTAGTTGGGGATGATTGAAGATCGAAGAACAGAAGAGGATAAGGGGTGAATGTCAAAGTGGGGAAATGACCTGAGCTTGAAATTTAGTCTCAGTCCTTTCAGTTCTGGATGGTAGACATATGAGCCCCTTCTAATAACTCTGTTTTTTTTCTTCCAGAGAAAGACAAGCGCTGGAGCTCCGGCTGGGTAAAGTGACAGGATG